TTTGATAAAGTGTTTGGATGTTATAGAATAGGACAAATATTCAGGAGTGTTTAAAGGGATTCTCTAGTGCCAGGTAAACAAACCCGTTTTCCTGGCACTATAGGCTCCTGCAGTGCCCCTCTCCCTCCCACACCCCATCGCTTAAGGGGTTAAAACCACTTCAGACACTTACCTTAACCCCTTAAGGACACATGACATGTGTGACATGTCATGATTCCCTTTTATTCCAGAGATTTGGTCCTCAAGGGGTTAATCCAGCGCCGATGTCCCTCTGCCAACGGGGGGATACCTAATGCGCATGCGCGGCAATTGCAGCCTCGCGCATTAGACCTCCCCATAGAAAAGCATTATTCAATGCTTTCCTATGGGGATTCCGGTGACGCTGGAGGTCCTCATGCATAGCGTAAAGATGTCCAGCATCATTTAGACGACCAACAGTCGTCTAAGAACCCAGAAGTGCCTCTAATGGCTGACTACCAAACTGTCTGGTAGTCAGCCACTAGAGGAGTACTTAGCCCTGCAAGGTAACTATTGCAGTTTAAAAAAACTGCAACAATTACACTTGGAGGGTTAAGGGTGATGAGCGTTGGCACCCAGACCACTTCAATGGTCTGAAGTGGTCTGGGTGCCTACAGTGTCACTTTCGACAGAATGACTTTAATAACCAGCAAAGAATACAAAATCACTATACAAAAGTACATATTTGTAGAAAGTAGACTTTCACTTAAAGGACCACTCTAGGCACCCAGACCAATTCAGCTTAATGGAGTGGTCTGGGTGCCTGGTCCAGCTAAGGTTAACCCAATTTTTATAAACATAGCAGTTTCAGAGAAAACTGCTATGTTTATAAATAGGTTAATCCAGCCTCCAGTGGCTGTCTCTTGACAGCCGCTAGAGGCCCTTGCATGCCGCTAGAGGCCCTTGCGTGCTTCTCACTGTGAAAATCAAGTGTCCATAGGAAAGCATTATGAATGCTTTCATATGAGACTGGCTGAATGCGCGCGCAGCTCCTGCCACGCATGTGCATTCAGCCGAAGAGGAGAAGAGGCGGAGAGGAGGAGGAGAGCTCCCCGCCCGGCGCTGGAGAAAAGTACGATTTTAACCCATTCCCTCTCCCCAGAGCCCAGCGGGAGGGGGTCCCTGAGGGTGGGGGCACCCTCAGGGCACTATAGTGGTCCTTTAACCATTTTATCACCAACTAGTCAAAATCAAATTATCTGTTTTTTTATTTTTTGTGTGTATGTTTTTCACACATTTTTGTGGGGAAATTTAACAGACAGGTAAACACTGTCATTGTTATTCACTAATGTCCAAACGGACCCGTACTGAATAGGGCAAAATCATTCACTCTGGTACAGGGCCGTTTAGGCCATTGTTCACAATATGATTTTGCAAAGCATCTCTGATTGTGCTTGAATTTGGTGAGCTGGATTAAAAGCCGTCAGACAGCTGAAATTTAAACCTGGATGGTTAAAATTCGGGCCTGGATGTTTAAAATCAGGGCCCGTTTTTAAAGGAACACTATTAGGAATACAAACCTGTTCATTGTTTAGGTTCCCAGTCCCTCTCCAAGTGCATGAAAAGGTGGGCTTTACTTACCTTTTCTTCATCGCCACACTGGTCTCTTTTGCTCAACTTGATCTCATGCATTTTATTTATTGTGTCTGAGATAACCTCAATAACAATACTAACTGACAAAAAAAGTTTCAAAAGTAGGTGCTGTAGGGTTAGATACGTTTTTCTGGATTAATATGTATTTTGCAATGATTTAACAGGTACAGTGGTGCCTCTGTTTTGGACTTGCATTTTCTACTAACATTTAAGAAAAACAAATATCTGTCAAGAAAAGTGACACATAAATGGCTAACTTTTATATTGTTGATTTTACCTACAATTTTAATTGTCTTTGTTAGTTAATATTTTAGGAACATGAGCTCAGAGGAAGACTCTAAGTGGCTGGAGTGGATGACTAAGCAGTTTGAAACCATTGCTGGAGAAGACAAGGAAATTGACCTTGAAGAATTCAAAACAGCACTAAAAGTAAAAGAGGCAGGTTTGCTATTAAACAATTAAAAATTAACTCTTATTCGATTAAGAATGCCTTTTATACAACTTGTTTATAAAATGATTTAATAATGTCTGCCAATCTCAAAATCTAATGTCTGCTGTACTCAGGCATGCTCTTAAATACTTCAGCCACAACATTAAAGCCACCTGCCTATATTGTGTAGGATCCCCTCGTGCTGCCAAAACAGCTCTGATGCCTTCGAGGCATGGACTCCACAAGACCTCTGAACGTGAACCAATGTTTCCCAGCAGAACATTGCCCAGAGCATAACACTGACTCTGCCAGCCTGCCTTCTTCCAATAAAGCATCGCGCTGCCATCTTATAGCCAGGTAAACGACGCACATGCAGCCGGCCAATAAAAGAAAACATGATTCATCGATCAGGCAACCTTTTTCCATTGCTCCATGGTCCAGTTATGACGGTCACATCCTGTAGAAGGTGCTTTCGTTGTAGACAAGAATCATTATGGGCACTCTGACTGACAGGGCCGGACTGGGGATTCCAAAGCAGCCCTGGAAAAAAAATCTATGCCAGCCCCATAAGTCATTGCGCCATATATTGTCGCGTGTAATATGTAAGGCTATGTCTTGCCACCCTAGATGATTGACATATATATTGCTTTTTCCAATATAAAATATTGGTCCTTTCAGAGTAACATTTTTAATTATACAGTAAGCATACTCACATGCAGACACAGACAATCTCACTGACACAAGCTGATTGATACACAGCCTCATAGACAAACAATCTCACTGATATACATAAGGTCATTGACATAAAAACACAAGCTCACTCAGTAGCAGGCACGCGCACACACGCACGCGCACACACACACACACACGCACACACAGCTTAATGTAGTGGTTCTGGGGTCTATAGCCTGTCCCTGCAGACTTTTCAATGTAAACAATGACTTTTTAGAGAAAAGGCAGTGTTTACATTGCTTCCTAGTGACAGACACTCAGACGGTCACTAGAGGTGCTTCCTGTGTCAGTGTGGATTGGCTGAGATCATCAAGCTTGATGATCTCAGCCATAGAGGCAGGGCCAGGTGAGGGGAGACCAACACGACGTGGGAGGGGAAAAGGTGAGTAAAAACACACATACCATGACACAGACAGACCGTGACACAGACACACACACACCATGACACACAGACACCACAACACAAAATACAAAAATGGGATGTCAAACGAAAAAAAAAAAGAGAGACCGTGACACAGACAGACACACACACACCATGACAAACACACACACACCATGACACAGACACACATACAGTCACACTGACAGGCACACACACCATGACAGACAGAGACACACACAATGACACAGACAGACACACACAATGACACAGACACACACACCATGACACAGACATACACACCATGACAGACAGAGACACACACAATGACACAGACAGACACACACACCATGACACAGACAGACACACCATGACAGACAGAGACACACACACACACCATGACACAGACACACATACACTCACACTGACACACATAATTTCTACCTTTGTGCTGGCGGCCGCATGGGGGAGCTGAGTCTTCTGGCGGCCACTTAATGAGACCGGGGCCGGAATATGACGTCATCTTCCGGCCCCGGTCTCTTTGTAGTGCGCTGGGGAGGGGGAGCAGAGACAGAACAGCCAGCTCCCCCTGCCGCCGCCAGAATAGCTCTCTCTGCGACCGCAGGTGAGCCAGCTGCCTGCCCGGCCCCAGGTGCCGACGACCCACCGGGAAATTTCCCGGTATCCCGGTGGGCCAGTCCGGCCCTGCTGACTGATCTGCGCCTACGCAGTCCCATGTGCAGGAAACTAGGATGCACTGTGTGTTCTGACACCTTTCTATCATGGCCAGCATAACATTTTTCAGCAATTTGAGCTACAGTTGGTGATTCAACCAGACAGACTAGCTTTCACTCCCCACATGCCTTGGACATCCATGGTCCTTACGCCTGTTCCCCTTCTTGCCCTTCGTTGCACCACTTTTGGTAGTTACTAACCATTGCATACTGGGAACACCCCACAAGACTTGCCGTTTTGGAGATGCTCTGACCTCGTCATTTAGACATCACTATTTGGCTCTTGTCAAAGTCACTCAAATCTATTTGCTTGCGCATTTGTCCTGCTTCCAACACATGATGTTCAAGAACTGACTGTTAACTTGCTGCCTAAGATACCCCACCCCTTGCCAGGTGCCATTGTAACAATATAGGTTTAATGTTGTGGCTGATCAGTGTATGTGTTACTGAAAAAGTTTTTGTTAGTAAAGGATTTTTTTTTTTTTTTTAATTATATTCTATAACCTTGGTCATCAATCTGTTGTACATGTATGCATGGAGGAATGCAAACAACAAGGACATGGGGCATGTGGATGAGATGTCCTGCTATCCTAGGACCAGAAGAAAGAATATAAGGGCCTGCTTCATGGCCCAGTGCTACCTCCTAAATATAAACCCACAATTCCCAGATTTTACTATTTACATGATGTACAACATGAAGCAAAAACAAAATGCTGCAAAAGGCCTGGCTGTTATAAATGATTTTCAAAACCTGTGGCTTAGTACGTGTTGCCTTATACTGATCTCTTTCAAATATTGTATACACTGATCAGCCAGAACAATAAAAATACTGACAGGTTCAGAGAATAACATTGATTATATCATTACAATGGCACCTGTCAAGGGTTGTGATTTTATTAATGACACGGAGGCTCCTATTATGCTATCTCTTTCTTACTTTATTCCTCAGCAGCAAAGAGAAAACATAACTGAAAGAGAAACAAATGTATAATATGAATAATCTATAACAGATACAACCAGATCTGCCTAGTAACAGGGCAGCCAATCAGCTTATAGGAACAGTCCATAAATGTCTTGCCGAGTACTTCCACTTCCTCTTCTTTGCCTTCTGAACCGAAGACCCAACAACCGAAGAAACATCCACATCAGGAACAAAACAATCTCCAACATGGTAAACGTCATCACAATGAAATCAGGCTGTAAAAACAGAGAAATAGGTGGTAAAATCCAAACCATGGATCTGTATGTAACATATCATAAAAATTCGGCATGTATAACAACATATATAAAATATTGATTATACCATATATACCAGTTAAAAGACCAGACCAGACCATATCCCAGAACATCAAGTGAAACCATGGACACTTACCGTGAGATAGAAGGTCCTCCCGATTGAACCAAAATTGCAGACCCAGCACCTACCCACCGGGTGGGAATAATACTCGCCTCCGTGTCATTAACAAAAAAATCGTGACTTTACGTCATGTAAATAGTAAAATCTGGGAATTTTATTAATGACACGAAGGCTCCTATTATGCTAGTTCAAAGCTGAGCCACAACTAAAGAAGAAACATGGTCAATCGGGCGGAAATAGAAATCACGGAACGTAGACTCACTAGACCAATCCGCCGCTTTCAAAATATCATCCAGACGACACCCCATCTTAGAAGCTTTGGATGCCATGGCTCCTCTGACCGAATGAGCTGAAAATATTGATGTATCAGTCCCTGCCACTGAAAGAAGATTCTTAACACAACGAGCCAACGTAGTCGAGGAGACCGGTAGAAACTGCGTCCTAAAGGAAATAAACAGTTGGGACAAATCCAATGACCTCAACTGTTGAGTGCGATCCAAGTAAACCCAGAGGCAAGCCACCGGACACAGAGCAGGGCGGACTGAACACCTCGGATAGGCAAACGACACTCCCTCGGGGGTGAAGGATATCGCGTTCCAGTCCAAAGCTCTGACATCCGAAACTCTCTTGCATGAATGGAGACACAGAAGCATAACCAACTTCCAGGACAATTGTTTCAGCGAGAGCTGCTCATTATGGGGCCACGACTCCAGGAAGCAAATAAGTATGTTAACATCCCAAAACGAGGAGTATCTGGATCTCGGGGGTCTAGAGAAACGGATACCCTTCAACAATCGGCACACAAAGGGATGTTGTCCAACCGGCGATCCGTCAATCCCTAGATGTCCGGCCGAAATGGCCAATTTATAAACATTAATAGTGCGGTAGGCCAAATCAGATTCAAAAAGCGTGGTCAGAAAACTGAGCACCACCTTCAGAGGGGCAGAAAGTGGATCCAACAATCTTCCCACGCACCAGCCAGACCACACGCGCCATGAGGATTTGTAAGCTGTTCTGGTTCCCGTTGTCCAGGCACTCTCCAGGAGTCTTGTAGTAGCTTGCGGAACGTCCACGACGGACCAGGATCCCCTGAAATCAACCAAGCCGGAGCAGGTCCTGATCCACTAATTCGTGCGAGTTCCCATCCGGATCCAGAAGCACATCCAGTCGCATTGCAATCATCCATGGGAAATCCATCGTCATCTCCAGGAGACGAGGGAACCAAGGTTGAGTCTGCCATAGGGGAACTACTATCACCAATGTGCAATCTTGTCTGGACAGGTACGCCAGTGTCTGAGAAATCAGGTTGTATGGGGGAAACGAAAAGTGACAACCCCGAGGACACGTTTGCAGGAAAGCATCCACCGCCATGGCTGATGGGTCCAGTCTCCAACTGAAATATTGGGGCAGTTGGGAGTTTAGTCTGGATGCGAACAAATCCAGTTCCAACGGACCCCATAAGCGATCTGTCGAAAGGTCAAAGGGAGCAGATGCCAGTCCCCTGAGTCTTTCAAGTAGTGCGAATTCCAGTCCGCCCATTCGTTGTCTAGTCCCGGGATGTGTTCGGCAGTAACCGACACTGCGTTGTGGAGGCAAAACTGCCAGAAGTCCTTTGCCAGGTTCGCTAACTGTTTTGATTTCGTGCCACCCAGATGATTTATATATCTGACTGCGGACACATTGTCCATGCGCAGAAGAATGCAGCAATTTCCCAGAGTTGGAGACAGGCTACGAATGGCGCATAACCCCGCCAGCAGTCCCAGACAGTTTATGTGTAGCCTTGACTTTGGATCATCTGCCACCTGTGGAGACATTTCCACAACGAGCGCCCCAACCATGTAGGCTGGCATCCGATTCTATCAGCACGTCCGGAGCGGATCCGAAGATTACTCGGCCTTTCCACGCCTCCATGTGGTCTAACTACCACAGTAGTTCTTCCCTGGAATCCCTGTCCAGGCTCAATTGGCTTTTGTACGAACTGCCCAACTGAAGATGGGATCCCTTCAAACGTTGGAGGGCCCGATAGTGTAGGGGTCCTGGAAAAAAAAAATCGCCTGAATCGATGAGGCCAAAAGACCAATCACTCAGTTGTCGTACGGATAGAGAGGTGGCCCGTAGTGTACGTCTTATTTCTTTTTTCATAGCCTTTAATTTGGTCTCTGGAAGGAACAAGAATTGGGCGATCGAGTCGACTTCGAAACCCAGGAATTCTATCTTTTGTACCGGGGTCACTATGGATTTTTCCCAATTTATGAGGAAACCTAAACCTTCCAGGAGATCCACCGTCCAGTCCAGGTGTCGTAGGAGCTGGTCGGGGGACGAAGACATAATCAGGATGTCGTCCAGGTAAATAATCATACGGACCCCCCGAGCCCTGAGGAACGCCACTACCGGCTTGATTACCTTTGTGAAGCACCAGGGAGCGGAAGATAGACCGAAGAGCAGACAGGTAAACCTCCACCGACGTCCTTGCCACGTAAAGTGCAATAAGTCCCAGTGCTCCTCTGCCATTGGTATGGTCAAATAGGCATCTTTGAGGTCCAGCTTGACCATCCAGTCCCCTTGATGGAGCAGGTCCCTGAGGCAACGAATGTCTTCCATCTTGAAATGATGGTAACGGAGAAATTTGTTAAGGCGTTTGAGATTTATGACCGGTCGAACTCCTCCGCCCTTCTTGGCAACGAGGAACCAACTGCTTAGGAACCCCGGGGTCTCGTACGAGATTTCGTGTATTGCCTGTTTGGCATGAAGTTCCGCGATTTCCGCAGTAATCAACCCGGACTGCTCTTCCGGCAATCTCAGTTCCTGTGGTATACACATCTGGAAAGGTGGGGACAAAAGATCTTGGCAGAAACCCCTGACTGTATTCAAAACCCACACATCTGTGGTGATCATGCCCCACATATCGATAAATAAAGCTAGCCTTCCCCCCACGCTTGCATGGGAAAAAACACATTTGGGGGTACTTACCATAAGGACGTCTGTACGAGGGCTGACCGCGTCCTCCTCGATTCTGCCACGGTCTCCCGTGTGAGGGGAAGAAGGGAGCGGGCTTGTATTCCTGGTAGGCCCGAGGGGCAGCAAAGGAACCTCTGTGAGTCCGTGAGGGACGTCAAGCTCCACGGCCTGACGGACGGCTCCTATACCTCCCGGCCCCTTGGAAAACCTTTGGGCCAAAAACTCGTTTCAAGTTGGACTGGACCATATCTAGGGCGGTGAAGGTGCGCACAAAGTAGCGCGTGGAATACACGCGGCCGGGAACTCCCTCGCACTAGCAGGTGTGAGGAGAGACTGATCGGGTCGGCAGATAACGCGGCCGAGGAGAGGGAGGGATGACCAGGGAGCAATGAAGCTCCAGGAGGAATCCTCCCCTGGTAGCCGCGGATCCCAGCCTGTGCTATCAAATGTACAGCACAGACAGGGAAACCGGGCACAGGGGAATAAAAAATAAATAAATAATAAAATCACAAAATACAATGAAATTAAATTTAAACAAACACAAAACCATAAGCATAGACTGAATACAAAACCAATAAATGTAAACAGGGTAAACAACCCTGACAGCAATAATACAGATCAAATATACAGGAGGTAGAAGAGGAAGTTGAAGTACACAGCAAGACATTTATGGACTGTTCCTATAAGCTGATTGGCTGCCCTGTTACTAGGCAGATCTGGTTGTATCTGTTATATATTATTCATATTATGCATTTTTTTCTCTTTCAGTTATATTTTCTCTTTGCTGCTGAGGAATAAAGTAAGAAAGAGATAGCATAATAGGAGCCTCCGTGTCATTAATAAAATCACAACCCTTGACAGGTGCCATTGTAATGATATAATCAATGTTATTCTCTGAACCTGTCAGTATTTTTATTGTTCTGGCTGATCAGTGTATACAATATTTGAAAGAGATCAGTTTAAGGCAACACGTACTAAGCCACAGGTTTTGAAAATCATTTATAACAGCCAGGCCTTTTGCAGCATTTTGTTTTTGCTTCATGTTGTGTCTGCTGCAAAGAGTGTGTGAATGTATGGTGTTTGTGTCTGTGTTGTAACATATGAATGCTAAGGTGTATTTGTGTTGTGCTTCACTATCTGTAAAAGCAGACATGTATTTGTGTGGAGTGTCAGTATTTGTCAGTTTGAAGAGGATAAAGGTCTAGCTGACTGCCTCAATCAATATTTTTGTTCAGTATTTACAGATGAAAATGAAGGAGAGGGGCCTCAGTTAGGAAAAAGGACAAATGAGTAATTTGTAACGTGAGTTTACAGAGGAAGAGGTTCTATTACAACTATCAAAAGTAAAGACAAATAAGTAAAATGGGACCTGATGGAATACACCCAAAGTTATTAAAAGAGCTTAGTGGTGTATTAGCAAAACCATTGACAGATTTATTTAACCAATCATTGTTAACAGGAGTACTCCTAGAAGATTGGAAGTTAGCGAATGTTGTGCCCATTCACAAGAAAGGTAGTAGGGAGGAGTCGGGCAACTATAGGCCAGTAAGCCTTACTTCAGTAGTGGGGAAAGTGATGGAAACCATGTTAAAGGATAGGATTGTTGAACATCTAAAAACACATGGATTTCAAGATCAGAGACAACATGGGTTTACTTCAGGGAGATCATGCCAAACTAATCTTATTGATTTTTTGATTGGGTAACTAAAATTATAGATCAGGGTGGTGCAGTAGACATTGCTTACCTAGATTTCAGTAAGGCCTTTGACACTGTTGCACATAGAAGGCTTATTAATAAACTGCAATCTTTAAGTTTGGATTCCATTATTGCTGAATCGGTAAGACAGTGGCTGAGTGACAGGCAACAGAGGGTTGTAGCCAATGGAGTATATTTGAAGCAAGGTCTAGTTACTAGTGGGGTACCTCAGGGATCTGTACTTGGATTCATTCTCTTTAATATTTTTATTAGTGATATTGCAGAAGATCTTGATGGTAAGGTATTTTTTTTTTGCTGATGATACAAAGATATGTTACAGGATGTTCCAGGAGGGATAAGCCAAATGGCAAATGATTTAGGTAAACTAGAAAATGGTCAGAGTTGTGGAAACTGACATTTAACGTGGATAAGTGCAAGATAATGCATATTGGACGTAAAAACCAAAGGGCAAACTACAGAATATTTGATAGAGTCTTAACCTCAATATCTGAGGAAAGGGATTTAGGGGTAATTATTTCAGATGACTTAAAGGTAAGCAGACAATGTAATAGAGCAGCAGGAAATGCTAGCAGAATGCTTGGTTGTATAGGGAGAGGTATTAGCAGTAGAAAGAGGGAAGTGCTCATGCCATTGTACAGAACACTGGAGAGACCTCACTTGGAGTATTGTACACAGTACTGGAGACCGTATCTTCAGAAGGATATTGATACCTTAGAGAGGGTTCAGAGAAGGGCTACTAAACTGGTTCATGGATTGCGGGATAAAACTTACCAGGAAAGGTTAAAGGATCTTAACATGTATAGCTTGGAGGAAAGACGAGACAGGGGGGATATGATAGAAACATTTAAATATATAAAGGGAATCAACACAGTAAAGGAGGAGACTATATTTAAAAGAAGAAAAACTACCACAACAAGAGGACATAGTCTTAAATTAGAGGGACAAAGGTTTAAAAATAATATCAGGAAGTATTACTTTACTGAGAGGGTGGTGGATGCATGGAATAGCCTTCCAGCTGAAGTGGTAGAGGTTAACACAGTAAAGGAGTTTAAGCATGCGTGGGATAGGCATAAGGCTATCCTAACTATAAGATAAGGCTAGGGACTAATGAAAGTATTTAGAAAATTGGGCAGACTAGATGGGCCTCAGGAAAGAGCATCAGGAAATGCTAGCAGAATGCTTGGTTGTATAGGGAGAGGTATTAGCAGTGTAAAGAAGGAAGTGCTCATGCCATTGTACAGAACACTGGTGAGACCTCACTTGGAGTATTGTACACAGTACTGGAGACCGTATCTCCAGAAGGATATTGATACTTTAGAGAGAGTTCAGAGAAGGGCTACTAAACTGATTCATGGATTACAGGATAAAACTTACAAGGAAAGTTTAAAGGATCTTAACATGTATAGCTTGGATAGGGAGGATATGATAGAAACATATAAATACATAAAGGTAATAAACATAATATCAGTAAGCATTACTTTACTGAGAGGGTAGTGGATAATCATGTGGCTAATATGTTCTAAAAGGAATGGTCATTTTTTTACCACCTATTTTATTCACCTATACTTTTTATCAAAAATATAAACATTCAACTATATCTTTAAGTATGTTCCTAAAGTATGTGCTTCTTTACGATAACCTGCAGTACTTAGGGATGTATTTGCACCTCTTCTTCCATGTCACCAAGATGCCTCTTCTATATGTCACTTTCCAACTCACTCAATCTTCTCATATCACTATCCCATTCATGCAATATTTCACTAGCCCTCATCTTCCACAAGTCACTTTACTTTGTCTAGGTCACCCCTTCCCATTTTCAAAATTATTATGAGCCCATGCATCAAGCAAAGCCTCATCCATAGATTACTATGTTCATCCTTTTCTTATCAGCACTGCTAACCCATAGCATCCAAGTGAAGTAGAAGAACAACATGTGATGTCATATAATGAATACTATTGGGTAGTTGTTGTGGCAAACCTAGCCACTTGTAATAATCTGGACTATGTGTATAAAAAGGTTGCCTGTATTATTCCTGTAACTCTTGTATTTCCTGGCTGTATCCTGTATTGAATTTGTATGCTAGCTGCCGAAAGCCGCTAGCATTCATGTGTTTCGTTTCACGAACAGCACCATTGCGGGCTGTTAGTGAACCGAATGAGCTACCCCTTAATAGCCCACACAGAGAGGGGCGTGTGTCGCCCATTAACAGATTGCAACAATGTTGCAATCAGTAATTAGAGGCTTTCCTAGATGGCCGTCGTTCGGCTACCAACCATGCGGCGGTCGGCCAACTTGGATCCTTTGTCTCTCCAGCGGTGTTTGGTCATCGAGCGCGTGGAACTGAAAACGGCTACTCGACGGCGCGAACACCACTGGGCTTCCAGGCCGTTCGGGAGCTCCGGTCTTTTACTATTAGGGTTTCCCCATCGGTGTTCGGTACTTTGGGACGAACTCAATGGCAAAGTATATTTTGTGCGGCGTTCGTTTGTTTTAGCTGGGATCTGTGCGGTATTCTCACAAACTGTGCACTCAGACCCCAGCTATCTACCGAATGTCCATTCGTTTAAATCTGCCAAGTATTCAAAAAGTTATATACTTTAATGTAAATTGTCAGTTCTGCTGCACGGAGGGATAATCCACTTAACGGTATATTCCAGTCGGAGTATCACTCTCGTGCAGCAGTGCCTGATGGGAGAAAAAGGTCTGAATGTAAAGTCCCCCATGTAGTCCCCTACTGTATTACCCCTGCTATGACAGTATGGAAACCCCTTGCATGGAGACTTGCATAAATACTGGATGCTGTGAATAAAAACCTAAGTTGACTCCCAGAACTGTGTTTCGTCCGGTTACTGGGGGATTTTGGATATTGCCTTACTTCCCAGCGCTTTACTTTGGATTACTTTCTTAACCAGCGGAGATCGTGGGATTTAATATTGCAGCTCCGCTACAGTTGTGATGATTAATTTAGCTAAAGCATAGCATTGTTCCGTTGCCCTCCATACTGCCACCAAGGGAGCTGGTCCTGGAACCTCCATGAACCAAAACGTCACTGCGTGCTTTACCTCTACCTGTATAAAAATATTAAGTGCAAGATTAACCACCTCACCAGGGCTCAATTTTCACGCATCGTCTCTCCAGTTTCCATTCTCCCACTCTCAATTTTGACCCCGGTCTAAACTATGATTATATATATGACATACAGGGTTACTCACTAAAGTGATTATTCAGGGTGAATGTGAATCTTAGATTTAAGGTCAAAGTAGCCAAACTGGAAGAATTCTCCAAGTCAACGATGCTGTCAGTTTGGCTACTCTGGTCACTTTGCATTCCTGTTGAATTCTCCCTCTAGTAAGTAACCCAGATAGTGTGTTTATCCATTATGTTTTACATGTATTAACAATAATCTGAATCGGTATGCTGGCTCATGTTTGAGAATTTACAAAAGAATCGTTAGTAGATTATAATGTTGCCCCATCAATAAGTGACATATATTTTGTAAAGTTTGTACATTGTGTTACATAGTCTTTTTGCAGGTTATATGATTAAAATAGAGACAATTAAGAAAGCAAAGTTAAAGAAACACTCAATCCCTCCCCCCGAATCAATAAATAAATCGCTGTCTAGCAGATAAACTTTCAGTGAAAACATACATTCATTTTTTTTCCTTTCCTTTATTTTTTATTTGAAATTATATCTAAAAACAGGTAGCAAAATCGGCAGATCTCTGCCTGTAGTCTTTGCAAGCCCTCCCTTTTTCCCCACCACAGACTTTTTTTTTTTTGTCAATCTTTCTTTTATTAAGGCATTTGATTTGAGTGGTACAGAATAAATAAAAGGAGTTGAATGAGACGTACACAAGTTAGGGATAACACAGCATATTTTTAACATACTCCCAGATATAACTGCCTCATTTTTATTAAGTAGGATATAAAAGATATATAAACATGAAAGAAGACTGTCTCAGCGAATGGTAATTAGATATGTCTGTAATCAGACGTTTGAGCTCTGTGAAGGTTACCAGTTGCAGAAACATATGCTTAAGTTAAAGGCGCCCGCAGGCTGTAGCACATAAACCGACCGCTATATTCTGCTAGTGGCCGGTGCAGCCTTTGCTAAACAAAACATGTACATTTGAGCAGTGTAGATCGCTTACAGGGATCCCCCTATACCTCTAGGCCTGGCCCGTAGAGTAAACAAATGCCATAGGTAGTGGGCCTCACAGCCAGTCTGCATGTAAACTCAGCCTACACCAGAAAGTGAGAAGAAGTTGTCGCTTTGGGATGCCAGTCCGTGCCACACCCGCCCCAATCATAGTGGTGGGCTAGGGAGCTCTACCAGGACGTCTGCTAGAGCTGTGTCGGTGTGTAGCCTTCCACTCTGCACTCCACCGCTGGCAGCTCTCGGACTTGTGTCTCCAGCGTACCAGGCATCTTCGGCCTGAGGCCTTGATAGGAGCCCTTGCCACATGTCCATTGATCCCGTCATCAGGACCATGGGCCCAGGGTTTTCCCAGGACCCAGCTGTCCCCCTGGGTGTATGGGTGGTGGTATTGCTCCAGGTGAGTGTCCAGCTCAGAAGAAGCACTTACGGCCCAGACAACAGTGGAGCCCATCTGTGCAGCAGGGGTTACTGGTTGGTGTGAGTTTTGCATCTTTCCAATCCCCGGCTCAGCTGCAGGTCCTGTTATAGGGTTGGATTGAATGCTTGGTGTTGCGGGCAGTCGTTGCAGTGCTGCTCTGGATTTGATGCGAGACCAGAAAGCTGTACATAGCTCATCAAAGACTGTCAGGAACTTGGTTTGCCAGTCCTTTGCAGTCTGCTTCTCGGCTGTGCCAGCCATTTTGACTGTATCACGAGAGTGAGCTGCCTCAGCGTGAGCAGTCTCAGCGCTGCTTTAGCTGCGTGTTTGCTTCGCTCCAAGTGGGGACTGGGATAGCTGTTGTACACCCACAGTCCCAGGCTGGAGGATCCCCACCACAGACTTTCACTCTGTACTGGGGAATACACCAGAGGCTTCTCATTGAGAATATTTTTAATTATATAATACCTGTAATACAGCTTATTGAGAAGGGGAGAGGCAGGCACGTGCTAGCACACAGTATAAGAAAAGCTCCCTGGCTGTCTGATTGGAGATTTTTCTGCCCAATTATAAAAGTGCCAATTTCTATTGAAAGCAAGCTGAAGTGCTTTGCTGCAGAAGTAAAATACTAGTAGTCTAGTAGTAGATTGATTAATTACATTTCCGGGCAATTCTGAGAATATCAGCATGACTGTTCCATGTAATAAATGTTATAGCTCTCATACTGACTCCAGCTATTTCTGCTCTCAGTCCTTTTTTGCAGAGCGTTTCTTCTCCCTGTTCGATTCAGATGGGAGTGGGTCGATCAGTCTGGACGAATTACTGAAGGCCCTCAATCTCCTAATACATGGAAATGAAACAGATAAACTGAGATTCCTGTTCCAGGTCTATGATGTAGATGGTAATCTATCTAGATATAATGTGTTATGCGGCTCAGTTCTGTATCACCTTAAAACCTAATTATAGATTTAATAAAAAGTAGCAAGCCTTTTGTGAATGTTTTTGATGTACCTTTAAATGGTCCAAAAATTTCTCCCTTTTAGACACTCTATTTGGCATCTATGTTCAACTTATCATTTATGTGTTTGCGTTACTGGTGATGTCTTATTCTTGACGTCGTTACTTATTGTCAGAGGGACCAATCTAGCGCATTCCAATCATTTTCAACACTAAATGCTTAGAGTGTATGAGAAGCAGCTAGTGTGCTCCATCCCACTAGCACTTATTTTAAACACACACAGAATTACAATGCATGTACAGATGTTGACATTGGGATACATTGGATTAATAATCCACTTTTTTAAAGGAATACTACAAGCATGCTGTAGTTGTTATGGTGGCAAAGGTGCCCTAGCTCCCCCGACACTGTAAGTAGTTAAACAGTTCTCTAATATTTTGACTTCTGAGGTGCACTATGCACGACTCCCTACCTCGATTGGGGACTAGCTCAGACACGCATTCACCGACAGACACATGCACACTCACTGACAGAAATGCATATACACTCACTCAGTGTCAGACACACACACTGGAACACACATATACAGATACACACTGACAAACAAACATATACAACACTCACTGACAGACATATATACACTCAGTGTTAGACACACACATTGACTGACAGACACACATATACTAGCTGACAGACACATACTCTCAGTGACAGACACGCATACACACACTGACAGACATGGATATACATGCTGAAACAAGCATACACACACTGACGCACGCATACACACACTGACAGACACTCAGTGACAGATACACACACACACTGACAAACACACATACACACTCACTGACATACACACTCACTCTCAGTGATAGAAACATACTCACTAACACACACACTCTCTCTCGCTAACAGACACACACTAACACACTCACTAACAGACACACACTAACACACTCACAATATTTAACTTTTTTTTTTAATCCACCCAGCCTCCCTACCTTTGGGAGTGCTGGAGTGTATTCTTCCCTGGGGTCTGGGCTAGCAGACACGCGGGAAGGTGGTCAGGTGGTCAGGCGGTCAGGCAGGCTCATATTGGAGGCGGGTGCCTCTTAGTGATGCCGGAGTGACGCCATCAGTGCATGCCAGCTTCGGTGGGTCCCTGAGGTGGCCAGCCGGCCAGCTCCTGGGCCCACCAGGACAATGTCACGGGTGGTGGTCCGGAAACCGGGACCCCCGAGTGCCTGATGAGAAATGGGAGTCTCCAGCGTGGAAGTGGATTACAGGGCCTGGTGCAGGGTAACCGCCCCCTGGTGTTGAATACCAGCGTTTGTGCAGCCACATACCAGAACCCTGATTCAGTTTATGCGGATCCCAGGAACTAGGAGCAGGTAATTAAGCAGACCTCCCAGGAGCTGAATAGGGAGGCTCTGCAGCAGGGATGTATCCAGTACTGAAGCAAGGCAAGACTAGAGATAGGCACCATACATGAAAACAAGACAAAATTAGGAGAACTGGGCAAGACTAGAGATAGGCACAATAAATGAAAACAAGACAAAACTAGGAGAACCCAGAACCAGAACAGGACAGAAAGCAGAACCCAGAACATGTACACAAGACATGAGGAAAACAAGAACATAACATGGGCATGACTGGACAGGACTGTACATGGACTGGGATTACAAGACTAAATAAAACAAGACAAGAAATGCAAGGTAAAACAAGAGGAGAAATAACTAAGCACTAAATATGAAAAGTATGGAGATTTAGTCACATTATATGATCATACATTGCATAAGCCTGCCAACAACGCCAATGTAACCCATATCTGGCAGGTCCTACACTGCCTAATGCATACTAAAACAACCACACTAAACCACAATAGCACTTACCTGCAAGAAAGGGCAGAGGCTTGAAACAATGCTGCAGGTCCAGGCAAATGCCTTGTCAGCCTTGCGGTAAATACACTGCTGGCCTAGCTAATTGGCTGAGATCAATCAGGCAATGGTCTGGGCCTGCACTCCTAGTAAGAACTTTCTTCTCTCAGGAAGGGAAGAGGCAGGAAGCCCATAGTACGCTGTAGTGGTTATGGTCCTTGGAGTTTTCCTTTAACCTATACATCATAATACAAATAGTGAATCAATGTGTTGCTTGCATATTTTTTTGTGAGATGAAAATCACCCTCTTTTAATATATACTGTGTGTCATTCTAGGTAGTGGCTCAATTGATCCAGATGAGCTCCGCACAGTGCTTAAATCCTGCCTGCTTGAGAACGCAATCTCATTGCCCGAAGAGAAACTTGATGATCTCACCTTAGTACTCTTCCAATCAGCCGACAAAGACAGCAGTGGATCCATTACTTTCCAGGAGCTGAAGGAGGAACTAGAACGATTCCCAGAAGTCATGGAGAACTTAACAATCAGGTAAACTGTATGCCTCTGATGGGTTTACTGGCTATGTTAACTATCTTCTTACAGTAGTTTTAGTGTTGTCTCTAATATTTTACCAGATCTTAATGTAGTTGTGTAAATATGCTTTGTTATAAACCCATTTACTGTTTTTATCCCCAGGAAACCAGCCTACTATTAATTAGGGGACCCACCTTCAACTTCTGTTATTCTTAGGAAAGCAGGAGAAACATTCTAACCTGCTGCTGTTATACATACCTATTAGAATTCGCAGATCAACTGGCTCCACATAGATACCAGATATGAAAATACTCGAAGCTTAGTACACAAAAAACTGTCTGCCCACCTTATTCCTCAGTCCACCCATGCTGACTCTTGTAGAACCAAATGGAATTTACATGTAAAAGAAGCAATTATCCCAGTCTTATACATGTTATCTTGTTCAACCACCATGACCACTTCAGTGAATTTAAGTGGTCATGGTGGTAGGAGCATGTATGTGCAGTTCTGTTTGAAACACTGCATATGCAGAGATATTTGTAATTGTGTGAGGGGGCAAGTTGCACCCCTAGCACACGTGACATTGGCAGCCCAGAACTCTGTACTGAGCTGCCAATGTCAATTCTGAACATAAAAACATTTGTCATGAGTGCACACAGCACGCTGCAAAAAGATGTTAAAATCAGGTAGAGCTTGCAAGGGGAAGCTAGATCTCCCCTCCCACCTCCCTCAACTGGAGGGCATGTGCACGCTCATGCGCTCTGAGATGGCAGTTAGTCAAATCACAGGCTTTTCAGTGAGCAGGCTGTGATTGGACTGCAAACGGCCCTGGTGACATAAAAGTCAGCATTGAGAGCTTCGTCGAGCTTTTACAGCAATTGCAGTGGTGGGACCTTCTCCAGGGGTGCCCATTAGGGTATTTTACACAGGAAAGGTCCCCCTGCTCCGAAGGGTTAAAGTAGCCCTTTAATCGATCTTTATATTTTAAGTCCTCAGCTACTAGCCAGACTTTGAAAGATACATATCGTCACTTACCAATGGCGAGTGAAAATTTTTGACCACCGATCTTAATGATAATCTTAAAAAGGAATAGTTTCCTACCTGACCTGCTACATTAGGCTGCTGCATTCAGATGCACAGTTCCCTGCCCTGTGTGTGTAAAGAGACTGGGTATTCTTACTTTTGAAGATTCTGGTCATTGAACATGGTTTGAATTCTGACTGTCAAAATTAAGCAATGACATATGATCTTTGTCCTTTTTATGTATGGGTTCTTAAAAAAATAAGGGAATTAAGAATGCATGAATACAGCCATATTTTGGGGCATTGCTAACTCTTTAAACTAGTACAGTATCATATAGCGTACTATATATTTACCATAGGCATTAGTTAAATTGTAATACATCTGTCCGCTCTGTTTGTCTATTTTGATGTTTCCCAATTCAGTCCTCAAGGCACAAGAGTAATCTTTCATGGCTATACACTAAAATAGGAATTCAAAGTGCATTTTAATTGTAAGGTCCGAGTAGACAAACTGACAGCTGACAGCTGATGTTTCCAGTTTGGAAATTTTGGCTTTAAGTTTGAAATTCACTTTGAATTCACCTTGAATCCTCCCTTTAGTGAATAACCCTGTGGATTTAACACTATTTGTACGCACTAAGCACCAATCAGCAATCCATGTCTTTATTCCAACATTCATGCAAGAGATAATCTGAGTATAGTTACCGTATTACAACAAATAACAGATTTGTCTCTCTCATTTTGCCAAGTGCTGCTAACTGGCTGAAACCTCCTACAGTAGAAAGGAAGAGCCATACGCCTCGTTATTTAACGCCGACCTACTGGCACAATAATCGCAGTAAGCTACTCTTCATGTGCTCATATTGGTGCGTGAATATCCTGCTTTTCACACTCAATGCAGTTGGCCATGCCAGCCTTGGTCCGTTGATCATGATTGCCAAGGGCTGCGGTCAATGTCTGAACTTCAACTGCACTTTCATCGTGGTAAGTTCTTGCCTCATCTGCTGGGTGAATTGAACAACAGCAACTGAAAGGATATAGATAGGAAAACACGAAAGAAAAACTGTTCCGCTATTATTATAGTATTATTTTATAAAGATACTCCTAAAGTGTAAGTGTATATTACTAAATGTGCTGTAAGACAACTCATTTTTTGTACGTTAGTTAGTCAACATATTTTCTAATTACAGGATATATGTAAAGGAGCAGGCTAGACACATTGTCCACTACATGCCGATAAAGTGAATATGTGCAATAAGGCTGCGGGTGCCATCCCCCAGTTCTTGGTCAAACTATTTTTTTGTAGTTTGACCAAAACAGGGGGTCCAGAAAGCACCTGCGACACAGCCTGTGAGTATTTATATTTTATATCTTGCATGCCTCCCAACATTTCAAATGAACAAAGATCAGGCGACACTTTGAGCCAATCAGCATAATTTGAGACACTGGATGTTGTTGGGAACAAACCAAGAGCAGGATTGCACTCTTTGTGGTTAAACCATTTGTGAACGGTTTAACCCCTTAAGGCAAGGAAGCGCCAGGGATCTCCTGGCCCCGTAACAACTTAATTTAAACAAAGTTGTGATGGTGCCCGTAAAGCTCCTTTAAGAAAAGCTAGGTTTCTTAGGGGTCTGAAGTGTTCATTTGATGCCTGGTTGCACTTCCAGGTAGTATCTGCTATTTGCAGCTTATGTTTTTAATTTGGACCCACTCCCAATATTGGTATGTTAAAACAGGAGCTAGGGTAAAAAGAACCCCTGTCTCCCAATACCTACTACAGGCATATTAGCTTCTGCTGTCTACCTGTGCAACTCATATCTGTAGATATATTAGGTAGAAACTGTAGGTTAATAAATGTATTTTAAAAAATATATTTTTTTTTAATGGGTGTCTGTATAAGGTGCATATGTTAGTGTGCAATGCTGTTAGGTTTCACCAAGTCATGCTCTCTTTAGGTGCTGATGCTTCGTCGCTGTCTGACACGGTTGCGTGCTACATGTGCAGTGCGTTTTCTACCACTGGATCAGAATGTTTACCTGCATGAGCTAGTTGGATACAATATCTTTGTCCAGACGGTTATTCACACTGCTGCTCATGTTATAAATTTCAGTAAGTAAAATATCACCAGTGACAACAGCTCTTACACAATTTATATTCTTTCTGCGTTGGTGTCCAGTCTATGACATGTTCTACAGGATTTGTATAGGGAGGAATAGGCTCATACATTGACCAGCCACAACATTAAAAACCATCTATCTAACATCTTGCAGATCCCAAAACAGCTCTGATGCATTAAGTGTCCTGTGGTATCTAGTACCAAGACAAGTAATATCCACATGAATGCAAGACTTAGTGCATCCTGCTGTCACCTCGTCATTGCTCCATGGTCCAGTTCTGACGTCCCTGTTGAAGGCGCTTTCAGCATTGAATATGGATCATCATGGGCACTCTAACCTGTCTGCAGCATCCATATGCAGCAATTTTTGATGCATTGTGTGTTTTAACACCTTTCTATCTTGGCCAGCATTGCGTTTTTCAGCAATTTGAGCTACTGTAGCTTTTCTGTGTGACTGGACCACACAGGCTAACCTTCACTCCCCACGTCCATGACATCGGTTCACCGGTTGTTCTCCTTGCAACACTTTTGGTAGGTACTAACCACAGCATACTGGGAGCACCCCACAAGACTTGCCGTTTTGGAGATGCTCTCACCTAGTTATCTAGCCATCCCTTTTCGGTCCTTGTCAAAGTCACTCGGATTTTTTTCATTTGCTCATTTATCCTGCTTCCAACACCTGTCAGTGGTTTTAATGTTGTGGCCAATCAGTGTAATTCCTTTAAAGCAAAAGGGATTCAGATTGCTAGTGTATACAAAAATAACAAGTATGAAACTCAGTAGCTTTGGTAAATCCCCACTGAGGTCCTCACTTGTGTCATTAAAGAAAGAACCTATATCTATATATTTATTACCTGTTATGTATTAAATTTATATATGTGTGTATATATATATAGAGTTTGTATATTGTAATTTTGTAATATTGTATCCTATTGTATCAATTCAATGTTTTGTGGACCCAGGACATACTTGAAAACGAGAGAAATCTCAATGTATCCATCCTGGTAAAATATTTTATAAATAAATAAATAAACAACATTTGCATATGACAGTGATCCTGACCAAAAAGGCAGTTCAGATGAGAAATTCCAGCAAGTTTATTCTCCATGAGAGATATAATTGTTTTGGCCTTCTTGGGGCCTTGTCAGCAAAGTGTAGCAGATACCCTTCTTGGCAAATAGAGTTTCTAGCAGAAAAGGTCTGTGCACACAGAGACCTTACCAAACAGCAACTTTTATTAGATCAATGTAGATCAATGTATACAGCATTGTTTTGGTTCTACAATAGAGCCTTTATCATATCTCCCAACATCGGTAGGAATGCTGATTGGGACAGGTGGGGGGCATGCCAGTGACATGACTTGTGACACTGATTATGTGAAGGCTGTCTGGAAAAGGTGTGGTCTGTAAAAGGGGTGATCCAGAAAACCATCCCCAAGCCTGCAGAGCCTTGTAGAGAGCGCCACTAAAGTGCTCTGGTCCTAGTGCCCATATCAGTTTGAACACATATAATGTGTATCTTATTTCTCCCATCTTCTTGTACTCCTTATCTTGCAATTACTTTTTTTGTCTGGAAGTTCTCCCTTATACATATAATTAAAACGAAATTCCGTTCCAATATGAAATACTGCAGACTCCAAGTACCACGATCACTTTAAATCACTGAAATGGTCATGGTCCTCAGTGTAATTATTTACATTAGATATTACTTTGTCTAGAAGAGGCCAAGGTCCTTCAACGATCTATAGTGTTTCTCGTGAATATTGACTAAATGTTGACTGTGAGCAATCTGAATTGTACCAACCAGACTGGGACCATGCAGATATATTGTATATGCTAATTGATTCATCTTGGGTTATGCATAGTTTATGATTTGTTTGGGGAGTAATACAGTAAGGTTATTCCTTGTCTCCTGGGCTCCATAATAAATGTATTTCTCTTCAAAGGGTCCAAGAGATGCTCATTTAGATAGAGTTGTCCAGACGACTTGGAATCTCCTAGGTCCTCTATGAAGCAATGTGTTATTATGATCTCACAGACCTTAGTATGTCTTTCTTGTCACTCTTTACAAATATAATTGATTGGTTTATGTCTGCTATTTCCCTAGCATTATATTTTCTTAGCACTTGTGATCCAAGAAATAGATCCACTGTCTATGCTCAGTTACACCAACCTGAGACGCATAAAAGTGAATACCAAATGTCTCATATGTTTCCCTTTTGAAAACAAATATACACATCCAAAATGATATTTATAAAAGAAACCTATTCTATTAACATAGTCTTTTTTTATGTACACAGTACAACTGGCTGTAAATTTGAAGATATACACTTTTTGGCAGTATCTTTTGACCATGGAGCCAGGTATCGGTTGGATTTATGGCACTGCCTCTCTCACTGGAATTATCTTGCAGTTTCTCATCTGTCTGACTCTGGCCTGTTCCAGTTCCTTCGTCAGGAAGGGTGGGCACTTTGAGGTAAGTACATACAACATTCTATAGTAATGAAGGGTGTCTGGACACATGGAAAATATTCAGAATTTCAAGATATTGCTCATTGTCATCAATTGTTTTCTGGATAGCAGAATATCTCTAGGAATGTCATGAGATTGTAAAGTAAATATCAGGTATATTTTTTAAGTGATGTATATTGATTTGTTTGCGAAAAAAAATTACTTTCTTTTATTTGCCTGAGCAGCCATGTTGGGTCAGAGGCTAATGTTATCTCACCAACTGCTGCTCAACCTAACTTGGCAACTGCTGCAGTTTAGAACAACTAGAGAAGCGAAAATTTGATGACAACATTTCACCTACGTGCTTCAACAGGGCAAAACAGATATATATATATATATATATATATATATATATACACACACAATATATATTTAAAGGTTTTATTTATATATATATATATATAACACAAAAATCAGCATTCCCAGGTAATTCTCTCAAAACTTCTTTACTTGGAAAAGTGTAAAAGTCAACGTTTCAGTTCCACTCAGGAACTTTCATCAGGATGTCCTGAGTGGAACTGAAACGTTGACTTTTACACGCTTTTTAAGTAAAGAAGTTTTGAGAGAATTACCTGGGAATGCTGCTTTTTGTGTTCTATACATTTAGTGCAATCGAGCACCGGATCAGAAAAATTGTAAGTAGGAGTGCAAGGCTTTCCTATATATATATATATATATATATATATATATATATACATATATATATAAACACTCTTATCCCCATGGAAGGTGCTTTCGGGGGTGGACAGGGTTCTTCATGTGCTCTCTGACCAGTCTGCGGCTGCACAGCCCCATATGCATCAAACTGGGATACTCTGTGTGTTCTTTCTATCATGGCAAGCATTAAGATTTTCAGCAATATGAGCTATAATAGTTCTTCTGTGTTATAAGACCAGACGGACTAGCCGTCACTCACCACATGCGTCAATGGCCTTAGGTGCCCATGACCCTGATGCAGGTTCACCAGTGGTCTTCCCTTGCACCACTTTTGGTAGGTACTAACCACTGCATAAGCACAAAAAGGGGATGATCTGCTGAACCAATCATAAATAAAACAACATAGCGTATAACTGTGTATGATGACAAATTGTAGAAGTTATATTCACAAATGGCCACTCACACTTTTGCTGAAGTTTGCAAGCCTTGAATATTTTCCTTTTCAAAATAGGAATTCCAAATCCTCTGTCTGGGTTAAAATCTCCATAGATATATTGGCATGTATGTGCTCAGGAAAGAAATGTATATAAAAGAATATGAGATGCACATTCAGAGTGAAGTACAAAAAAATATTTAATAACTTACATCAAGATATAAAATCATCAGTGTAGTCCCTCTATGTCACTAACCACTGCATATCAGGAACACCCCACAAGACTTGCCATTTAGAAATGCTCTGACCCAATCGTCCAGCCATCACTATTTGGCCCTTGTCAAAGTCATTCAGATCTTTTTGCTTGCCCATTTTTACTGCTTTAAACACATGAAGTTCAAGAACTGGCTGTTCACTTCCTGACGAATTTATCCCACTCCTTAACAGGCGCCATTATAACAATATAATATATATAATCAATGTTATTCACTTAACCAGTCCGTGGTTTTCATGTTGTGACTGATCAGTGTATGTGTTACAGAAAAAAATGTTTTGTTGGTAAAAAAAGATTAAAAAAAAAAAATGAAAAATTATATTCTATAACCTCGGTCATCAATCCATTGTACATGTATGCAAGGGGTATACAGACACCAAGGGCATGGGTATGTGGAGTGGATATCCTGTGACCAGAAGGGAGATTAACAAAAACACACATATACAGTCTCACACACCAACACCATCCTCATATACACAAACACATCCTTGCATGCACAAATATAAATCCCCTGGTGCCCTGTACTTTGCCAACTTTATCTGTGATATAAATCAGTTATATAAAAAGCAGTTATTACAAAGTAAGTAATATCTTGAGGTACAGTCAATTTGCATTATGAACAGTATGTCTAAGCAGCATATAAGGGAACCTTGCACATCAGTTCTAACTAGTACATTAATGTTTTTGGGTAATATAGATATTCTACTGGACCCATTTATCCTACATTTGGATTTGGATTCTGCTGTTTCTGCATACACCAAAATTCTGGAAGTGGTTCTTGGTCCCTGGACTCTTGTTCCTGCTGGAGAAACTATTTGGCGTGGCTGTTTCACGTATTGGAGGGCTGTACATTGTAGAGGTGAACCTGCTCCCTTCCAAGGTATTTCCTCTACTCAATAACCTCAATATCTTATTGTTAGACTAGATTTGTTGGAATATATCATTGATCTATAGAGGACACATTACAGAATCACTTTAGGACAGATTTATTGTCTGAATTTTTAGTACATGACTCTATTTACCCTTCCGTCTATAATATAAGATAAAACTGAACTATTTGTGGATATCTCACTAATGAAACATCACAGAGACAGCCTTCTGGAGGTCCTCCAGGCAGGAAATCGCCAAGACAGCCAACCAGCTGGACGTCCTCTATTTAAAGGGGAACTTTCACTTTTCTGGAAATTAACACTATTGAATAAAACATGGGGATTTTCATCTATAACCCATGTTAACCTTCTTTATTGTCTTTTAAAAAAATTTTTAAGACAATTTTTTATTGATTTTCAAGTATATGGGGTACAGAAGAGAGAAGGGAGGTATAAGGATAACAATGGGGGAATGTAGACAATATGGAAATACACAAGAGTTGTTAGCAAGATTTTCGACATTGACATTCAGGGTTTCGTAGGCAGACTATGTCCGCAACAGCAATATACCTGATACATGTGTACGTAAGGTTACATAGTATAGTTTTACACTTACGTATTGTCTATCTGTTGTTAGGTGTTTGTGGGCAAAGCAGTCTGGTACGGGAAAAAAATGGTCGGTTCTTTAAGCACGGTGTTGCGTGCCGGTACAGTCTGTCAGGCCATACATAACGGTCTCAAGGTGGATTTTGGGGATTTGTGGCTTGGTTGTATAAGCATGTCCACTGTTTCCACGTTGAGTGGAACTGCTGTGATTCTATACTATGGGTCATCGTCATTCGTTCATAGACATGGTATTGTTGAATCTTGTCCCAGAGTTGTATTTTAGATGGGCATAGGTGCGACTTCCAGTTTGTCGCTAGAAGGTTCCTGGCCGCTAATAACGTGATGGCACACACCTGTCTGTGTTCTCTAGCAAGATCACTGGGGAGCATAAGCATGAGGTATGTTTGCGGGCTTGGCAATAGGTTTGCTATGCCCAGCTTACCCAGCAGTCTCCTAACCTCTGTCCAGAGGGGTTGAATCACCGGGCATGTCCACCATATGTGGAGGAATGTACCAGTGTCTCTCGAACACCTCCAGCATGTCGGTAGTACACTGGGGTATATTTTATGCAACCGACTTGGCGTCATATACCACCTATAGAGTAGCTTCCTATGTGCTTCTATGTGCGTGTAGCATCTAGTGAGTTTTGAGAGGCTGTTTAGTGCTCTGACCCAATCTTCCTCTAAGAGTTGAAGGGAGCAGTCCTCCTCCCATTTAGTCTTACAGAGGGGGATGTGTTGTGGTAATGTGGTTTCCCACATTTTGTAGCAGAGGGAGATGGCTTTTGGTTTGTTTGGTGCGGCCCAGCATCTGTCCAAAATCCCGCCCACCATTAGTGATTGCTCCCGAGTACTGTTGTGTAGGTTCACATGAGTCATTATGGTCCCTTTGAGTCTTAGGTAGGTAAATACTTCCCTCATCGGTAGGTGCCATTTGACCTGTATATCCGCGAATGCTATTACACCCTTATTGTCTACTATGTGTTGGACATTGGTGATTCCTGCCTTAGCCCACCTTGTTAGAGGGAGGTCGGGGGATGCGGTTCCTAAGGCAGTCAGTGGTGCCTGGGTATGGAAGGAAAGTTTGCACCCCATTGTGGCCATAAATGTGTCCCATATGTTAAGCGTCAGAGACGTTGAGTGAAATAGGTCTAGTTTAGGGGTCCGTAGGTGTTTAGGCGTCCATAGGACGTCAACCATGTTTAAT